TTCTAGCATGTTTATCATGAAGCAGTTATTAATATAAAACCAAATGAAAATAAAAGTTCTGATGTTTCTGCCTTTCGACAGTTCACTCTTACATTGATCTTTGCAGATTAACTTAACCTAAAGTGTTATTTAATAACTTCTCAATACTTGTTTCCTTGCTTAACTTTGCCCGTACCTTTTATTGACATAGCTCTCACAATATATTACCTGTTAATGGGAATTGGTAGAGTGCATTCATATGATGAAGAACATTTTCCACAATTGTTTACAATGGATGTTATGTCATTTTTCTTTAAAATTAAATATATATTTTAAAATTGAGTTAGATTATTTGTTTCCTATAAAAGAGAAACTAAATGAGATAGTCTTTTTTTCAGTTTTTTTTATACAATTGACATATAACATTATATTAATTTAAGGTGTATAACAATGATTTGATACATGTATATATTGTGAAATGATTATCACAATAAGTTTAATTAACATCCATCATTCCTTAAAAATGATTTTTAATGCTAGGCCAAAAAAAAGTGTCAGTGATTGTTGTTTTTTAAATGAAGGAAGGGCTTAACTGATGACATAGTACTTCAGTCACTCATGAAAATTGAACAGGAATCTAAACAAAGTATATTTGCGTTGTCTTCTTTGAGCATTGCTCATCATCGACATAGTCTTTCTGGATATTTGTACAAAGAAAAGATAATCTTGCAGGCTGTATGTTTTCTTTTTCTAAGTGAGGTATATATTTTATGAAGAAAATATAGCCATGTGTCTAAAATAATTTCTGTTTTACTTGTTTACTGTATTCTTCCCTTTTCTCTGATGAAAGGTGTATATTATTCTCCCCCATTTCCTTTATTTTGATTGTTTTAAAGATCAAGTTGAAATTCTGTTCATAAATATAGTTGCTTATTAGAAGGGATGGAACTGATTACCTAAGGAGAAAGTCGCTTCCAGTGTAAGGAACAATGCCAGATTTTACAAGCCTTCTCCCATGACCCACCTTGACAGGTGTTCTCTTTTGAAGCACTTGACTTCCAGAAGTTGTAAACACGTGGGATTTTTTACTTGTCTTGGACAAAAATAATCCTCCGTAGAAAATCCATTACAAAATGATTTTGCATAGTCATTTACTGTTGAAGATTGTGTTGCAAATCTTGGTAGGCCCATTGTTTTGGTAGGAAAGACATATCTTGTTTTAGGCAATAAAAGAGTTTGAGATCTCTTGTAAATAATAGCAGCGACCAAAGCTTGATTAACTACTATTACAACAGCAGTGGGCTAGGAGTTTTTACCTTATCAATTTAACATTATCACTTCTACATGAGGTTCAGTGCCCTCACTCTGTGAAGAAGCCATTGCTTAAGTGATTTTCCCAAAAACACATACGAGCAAGCAAAAGGATTTAAGATTCTTAAGCCTATACTTTTGCACACCTTAAAGAAACTTCGTGTCTAGTGTTTGATTACTTAGTAGGTCAGCTGAAGCTTGTGCTTAGGACATCAGTAAAAAGAAGTAAATATTTTTTTAGTGGGGAGAATTTTGATATTTCAAAAGCAAGTATTAAGTTAGTAAGGGGAAGAATCAGAACCTCATTGAAGTTCTCTACACTTAGGTTTTGGCATGTACACACATAGGGAAGGAGGATACCATAATCTTTTCAATCCTTAGGGCCTATAAAGATCTTGATCTAGCCCTGTTTATGTGAATATTTTTTGTAAAGCAAATAACCTTTCCTAGTTTATATAATCATCCTTGATTTGTGTTTTTGGAGGGTAAGTCTGCTTTTAAAAAATAAAATACACACTTCACTTAAAGTGAGCTGCAGCTCTGATAAAATGTAAGACTGTGTCAGCCTCATGTCATAGCAGAATGGCTTCTTAAACAGTTAACATTTAGTTGAATTCTATCCTGGTCAGTTTAGATTAGTTTAAGGTCCATCCACTATGACACGATTGTACATGCTTCATAAACGTTTTTATTGAGTGGTAGCCGTGTTTTGTCAGGGTGCTTTCTTGCAAAACCCTTTGAAGAGTATGCAGGGATGTTACCTCTGGATAAATCAATAAGTTTTTCATTTTTCTCATGATGCTTTTTTTTTCTTTTATGCCTTCTTAACTTTAAGATTCTTTCAAAAAACATGTTTTTTTTGCATTTGGAAAAAAAACCACACAAGTTAACCTAGCATTGGTGGTGTTCAACCAGCAATTTTCAGTAATACCATTTGTTGAGCTTTTCAACGTGCCTGAATCCCCACACCAAACCTATTGAATGGGAATCTCCCAGTGATTCTCACGCGTATCCTTAGCTGTCAATCTCTAGGTCCTTGATCAGTGTTTTTAAAAGTCTGGTTGGTCCCAGCACAGTAGCATCAGCAGCATCTGGGAACTTGTAAGGACTCCAGGTTTTCATCCCTACCCCACACTTAGGGAATCCCAACTCTGGGATGGGGCCCAGCAGTCCATTTTTAACAAGTCCCCTGGGCGATTTGATGCCCATGAAAGTGTGAGAATCACTCCTTCAATTATCTCAAAGGTCTCCTCCAAAATTTTGTAAATCCTGTCCTGGCTGCAAAAAAGCTTCCTGGACGTTGGAATTTGCTGCCTATCATTCAACATTTTATCTTTCTCTATCCACCTCTGTTGCTTTACACTTTCTACTTTCACAGTCTCATTGAATCATGTGTCTTCTATTGTCAACCTCCTCCAATGCTTTGTGGATGAGGTAGAGCGTTAATAATAAATGTTGAATAAAAAGCCTTTTTCTCCTGTTGTATTATATTTTTTCTTCTTTGTCTATTTTCTAATGGCTAGCAACTGTGGAATTATTAACCTTGTTTATGGTTAAGAAGCTGAAAGAAGGCTGCCTGCAGGTTCTGGCATTTACATGATGTTTGAGACACATAGGTCCAGTTTACCATGGGGTCGTTGGAGAGATGGCCACCACCCTCTCTTGCGATCCAAATGAATGTCACTCTCAGCAAACAGCCCTGGCAGAATGGCTCCTTTAAGTCCAGTGCAACGTGTACTGGTTAGGCAGGATGGGGAATTAGAGCCCTCTCCGCTCACTGTAAGGAAACCTCTTTCTTGGCTCCCAAATGGTTTCCAGAGCTATCAAAATAATACCATTTGCAGACACTTTTCATGGCTGAAAAGAGCAATGTGGAGAGGAAAAGGAGTACTCTGTGGACCGCGGGAGAAATGTTTTGCAGCTGGGCAGTGCGCATAACTGCTAACTGAATGCCCTTTCAGTTGTGTAGCTCACCGTTGTGGCTCACGGTGGAAGAGCCACTCAACGGAAATGAAGAGTACCTCACACTGGCGTGTGTACTTGTAAACCGACTCTTCTCTGTGGGCTGCAAACAGCAATGTGTAGGACATTGTACTACAGATCTCAAGTAAATCTCGCCATGGTGAAGGCTTGGTGGGCCGCCTGCTGCTCATTAGAGATCCTGTCTGGCCCTTTTCCTGCAGAATGAGTGGTAGATTGCTGACACCTGTGTTCTCATCCAGCCTGAGGATGTGAAGTGTGCATTAGGAATGCCTGAAAGTGCTTCCTTGTGTCTTTGCCTGTGGGGCTTGGTGTTGCTTGGAGAGGAAGGGGTGGAGGTGCAGTGCTGGGAGGGGAGATGAAAAATCAGTGGTGAGAAACTGCAGTGCAAACAGAACTGAGGTTTTCATCCACATTTAGTCATTTCTGACGGTGACCTTAGTTTGTCCGTGTGGCCCTGGGAAGCTTGGTCACCTACTGAACAAAGTAAAAAGATGTGTCCTGTACAGGAGAAGACCTCAGATATTTCTCCAATAACATGAGTATCTAGTTGAGACTATGAGCACAATTAGAAATGGGATAGAAATAGCCCACTCTTACAACCAAATTTATCAATATGATTATTTTCAAATACATTTGTCCTTAAATATATAAAATTCAAGTGTGATGATATTATGATCAATTTCTTTGCACAATTCTGTCCATGTATTTGCTCTTCCCATCTTTACCTGCTGTAAAGTCTCAAAAACTGGCAGATGGTGGAACAGAAGGCCTAATGTGCTGCCTTCGGTCACAGATGTATTAGAGTGCCTACTATGTGCAATGCATTATGCTAAGGACGAGGTGTAATGAAAAGCACAGGACAGACCCTCCTAACCCCTACTTTTTCAAGTGCTGGCATTCTACTGGAGAGAAAAGACACAAATCAGAGGTGGCATAATACTGCAGCATATCGGATAAGCACAGAGATGTCCATATTTTCAGTGGGATTGGAGAATGAAGAGAACTGTGAGTGAGTTGGGTGGATCAAGGAGGATATGGCACTTGTTCTGGGTATTAAAGGATGAGGACAGTTCAAGAGTGAAAGAATGGGATACATGTATGATACGCTTTCCCTGCATCAGTAGGCTGTGGAATTAAATAGTGGCTTTGTTTTGTTTTGTTTTAAGTAGTGGTAATATTTCCCCCTGACTCATTTGTGGGACTTGGCCAGGTCTCCTTGTGAACGTTGGCCTCTATTTGTGAACTGTGGATGAATGAGGTTAGGGTTGGGTCATGGCCTTGGACCAGAGTGAAATTAACTGGCTCATAATGCGATTGAACTAATGACCTTGGCCTCATTACCACTATGTTTTAACCAGCTGAGTCAATCAAACATTGCAGAAAGGGTAATCAAGGTATCTTTTTGAAAGAGAGCTGGATAGCAGTAAACATGGGAGTGAAATGAAAGCCAGGCTCTTTCCCCATGTAACACCCAGGTGTTTATCTCTTCATCCTTGAATTTTCATGCTTGTTTCTGCATTTAGTAAAACTATGGTGGACAAAATGAAAAGGACGCCCTGACTCTCCTGTGTTAGTGTTTTTGACGTAATGAAACATGTAGTCATTTTTCTTGTGCAGCATCGGGCTGTTTTTGCAGAGCAAAATATTTTTGAGTGACACTGTTGTTTTTAATTGTAGATATGTAGTGTCCCATAAATGTATTGACGATGCCTTTCTCTTCTTTCAAGTCTGAACAACCCAGTCCTGCCAGTTCCAGCTCCAGCTCCAGCTCCAGCTTCACACCGTCCCAAACCAGGCAACAAGGTATCAACATCTCCCAGGCAAATGATGAGACATTTTTCTCATAAAACATCTTAATGAGTTGATTTATGGCCTATTTTCTACTGTTTTATTATCTGAATGATAACTTGGCTTTTATGCAGTTGTATTTATTTCCCCCAGGAATGCACTTGAGTATTGTTCTGATGTATGACAACAGCCTCTAGAAATTCCCCCTTTTCCAGTCCCGGCCATCAGTGTCCCATTTTACAAAAGGATTATAGACACAGCCTATTCCAGGGAGTTCCCAAAGGAAATACAATAGCAAACGCTGGACTCGAGAGGCTTTGTCATAGAGACATAGGTTTTTACTCTCCCTCCTGGACTTTCATTTTATTTATTTTTTCCTATGGATTAATAGACCTTTTCTTTGGCAAGTGTTAATTTGCTGTCTTTAAAATTATGGGGTTTTTTTGCTACTTAGGCTCAAAGAAATTTAAATTTAAAGAATTTTTGAAAAGAAACTTAAACCAAAACATAGAACTTAACGAAATGTTTTTTCCACTTCTTTTGTGCATGGAAAACCTTCAAATGTGGGCTCTTTTTTCTTTTAAACATGGAAAATGAAATAATAACAAAGAATAATTTGTTTTTGAGCATCATGTTGCACATTAGCTTTTTCATTGACCACACTGAATTCCTTATGGCCTTGTATGTTTTGAAAAGGATTAAATTGCTGTGTGTATTTGGGCTAAGGCTAAGCTTCTAGGAAAAAATAAAAGACACTGATCGTTTGTGCTATTCAGATTTCTTGTTCCACTGACTTCCAAAGGTATAAACCCATGACAGAAGCAGAGAAATTTGGGTTTTGAAGAATGTGAGATTGCAGAGTCAGTACTTATTTTTAAACGGATTTAATGATAGCTCAGATATTCCTATTAGATTAAACTTTAGGAATCTCCTAATCTAGAATGAAAATGCCTCTCTCACTTTTTTGATTGCCTTTACAATGTCTTCTGTTAAGATTCAAAGTATCTATCTTGTTTCTTTACATTTAGAGTAGTCAAGTAAAAATAAACCACACTAATGAGTTTTTTGGTGTTTGTTCCCCCCCCCCCTCCAATTTTGTCCTGTTCTAGAATAAATTAGTTACGAGTATGACTTGATTTTTTTTCTCTTCCATCTAATACTGGATACTCGCTTGAATTTTCTGGGCACCTGATTTATTCCATGGTCTTATTTATGTAAATACATGCTGGTATTTTGCCAGGAATTTCTTAAAGAGCAAAACAAAAATTAGCTGCATAAAATTGTTGTAACAGACCTCGTGTCCAAGATCAATATGAAGATCAGAGATAGGACATTACACCATGGAATTGAGATACTTTATAATCTGAACTTGACTGAAATGCTTGCTTGACCTGAAATTGACCTTGAAATAAAAGGAACAGCTAAACCTTAATAGATCAAAAACTACCACACAAAGGCTGCATTGCCAAGAACAAGTTACAACCATAGTGATTTATTAGTCTCAACTTTTCAATACATGGATTAACCTAACAAAACATTCAATTTACTAATAGATCTTTCTGTTTCTTTTTAGGGGTAATTTTTCTTAGGGAAGAGAAATACATAGAAAAAAATTCCTAGGAAATAGGTTTTCTAATGAACATCTTGGGGCATCTATTATGAAAATGATAGTGTTTTGACAGAGGTTGCATTCCAGAAACTACCAAATTTGTCTTGTAAATTGTATAAATATATATATGATACTGGTTATTTTTAACCAGTCAGTGTTCAGTGCTGGTGAGCATTCCCTTGTGTCTGATACTGCTAAAGTAGTATGTTTGATTCCTGTGGTTCACTGTCATTACTCAGGTCCTTTAAGATCTATAATGAAAGATCTGCATTCCGATGACAATGAGGAGGAATCAGATGAGGCAGAGGATAATGACAATGACTCTGAAATGGAGAGACCTGTAAATAGAGGAGGCAGCCGAAGTCGCAGGTGAGTGTCTTGGAAGAAAAGAGGTTCCCTGCGACAGAATCATACCTTTTTACTAGACCTAATAGTGTAACCACAGCCCAGGTGTGATACATCAGAAAGTAAAGGGCAGTAAGTGGTCCCATTCATCTTAAGTTGGGGCACCTTGGCATGCTTATACTCACCTATACAGGGAACTGCTCATCCCTTTTCTCAGAAAGGAGGGGTTTTTACTCTAAAAATTTTCAGGAAAAAGCCCTATTAGAAGTCCTGTTTTTGAAAGTATATGCCAAGGTGGCAGGTCTGACTGCTGAAATAAACTTGGTTTTCATCCGAAGGGTGTGTGTAGATCCATTGCTGTAGGTAGTGTCAGAATTTGAGGAAACGTGTTTGCTGTTTGTAGTTAGAAATACATAATTGGCTCCAATGAATTATGTGTGTGACCTAATTAAAACTAAGATCACCTGTGTGTGTTTTCCAGCAAATAAATTCCTTTTAAGTGTACTGACAATTAGGTTCCATAAGTAGCTTTAATGCTGTGAGGCATAATTTCACATTATAAGACGGTAATTCATGTCGCTTATAATTAATAGTCAACTTGAAATTGCCTTGAGGATTTTATTTCTTTATCATGAGGAAAACAAATAGGCATGCTTATTTTAATGTGTTTTGAGTAGAAAAGAAATATGAAACTACTTGACTTAAAATCCAATTACATTTATAATATATGGCATTAAATCTTTTCCCATTATCCATTACTGTGTAAAAGGCACTAAAATTTCTTAAAAGAATGTGATCTGAACCCAAACTGGACAGGCCATATGTTTCCTAATAGGGACTTCCTCGGCATCCTGTGAGAAGAGGCTCCTTAGAGTACGTGCCCCTCAGATCTCGCACTGATTTCTCCTTACGGCCACACTCAATACCTCTTTCTCCGCCTTGTCTCCCAAACTCTCCCGTCTGCATTCCTTTTAAGTGGGAGAAAATAAGGAAACTTATGGCCTTGACCTTATAACATTTCCATTTAGAAATCTTCATTCTGACAAGAAGGAAACTGGTACGGAAAAAAAAGACCTAAAAATGGACTGAAACTTCCCTATGTGATACATACTGTTGAAGACGCTCTTCTTTTTTCCCCACCTGACATGTGCTGTTAACACAGCAGCGCCAGTGTAACATTTGATCTTCACTGCACTTGTGAAGTCTCAACTGTTTAATCAGTTTAAATACTCAACCTTCCACTCCAGTCAAGAAGCATTTTAAAGCAGCGCTTCAATTGAACACTTCATTAATGTAATTTAGTTAAGAAAAACAAGTTCCATTGGTTTTTGCTAAAAGGATGTCCCAGTGTATCCTTTTCATTTCCTACCTCGTATCTTGTCTATCTGCATATATTATAGAGCTAGCATGTGATTGTCTATTCAGAGAGAGAGAAAAACTATCCTGATTTCTAAAACATTTTCTGTTTCTGAGAAGAATATTATATTAGGTTACTATATAACCAAAGAGAGGGAGAAAAAACTGAAGGCTATTTTTGAAGGAGGACATACATTCAGCAGAATAGAATAAAGAAACATCTTGGGATGGGCCTGCCGAGTGGCGCGATGGTTAAGAACTGGCTTGGAATGCCAGAGGGCCCCGGTTTGGATCCCACATATGAGGGCCAGTTACACTGCCCTCCACAACTAAGATGCTGAACAAAAGCTCAACCTGGAGCTGGGCTGCCGTGAGTCGCCGGGGATGGCATAGGCTGCAGTCCCTGCTGCAATGGGTTGCCATGGGCTACCATGTGTGGCCAGCAGCCAGCGTGAGCGGCCAGCAGCCGCTGTGAGCAGCCATCCAGAAGCCAGCGACTGATCTGCCTCTCCAGGGAAGAGCGCAATGATGGTGCCAACTTGGGCCAGTGAAGCAACGTCCTCCACAACTAGATTGAAGAACAAAACGACAGCAACTTGTCTGTTCCCCTTCCCCCAATTCCCCAGCGCTGTTCCCATCCCCCCAATTCCCCAATAAAAATCTTTAAAAAAAAAAGAAATTTATTAATTAAAATCTATTAAAAAAAAAAAAGAAACATCTTGGACTGGCCAAGTGGCAGGTTGGTTAAGAGTTGGCTTGGGACGCCAGCTCTGAGCAGCAGGACCCCTGTTCGGATCCCACATGTGGGCCAGTGACGCTGCACCCTCTACAGCTACGATGGTGAACAACAGCTTGACCTGGAGCTGAGCTGCCATGGGTCATCAGTGATGGCATAGGCTGCAGTGGAGCCGCAGTGGGCTGCTGTGAACTACCATGAATGGCTGGCAGCTGGCGTGAGCTGCCAAGAGCTGCCGTGAGTGGCTTGTCCAGTGGCCTGCAACCAATCTGCCTCACCCGGGAAGAGCTCAATGATAATACCAACATAGGCCAGTGAAGCTACATCCTCCACAACTAGACTGAAGAACAAAAGGACAGCAACTTGTCTGTTCCCCTTCCCCGATTCCCCCCCTCCAAAAAAAAAAAGAAAATATCTCCTACTTTGGCTAGAAGAAAATTCCATTTTTTTCTGACAAAAAAACATAGGGGAACCAGTGATATTTTTATTGTCTTTAGTTGTTGAAAGATATCATTGTATTTTTATAAAGCAGCTATGCCAAACACACTGTCTCTTCATGTCGCTGTAGTATATTCCCACTGAATTGTATCAGTGTTCATACCTAGGGACAGCCTTGAATCGTTCTTTACACAGTAGAAATGATTGGCGGTGTTCTACCATGTTGAGCTTCACCCATTTCCATCCTCAGATGTCACCCTGAGCTGTCAGTCATGCAGGGCTGTTGTCCACATTCTTCTTAGCAGTATTTTAGCCATATTTGTAAAATTTTCATATGTAGCAAAGAGGCAAAGGGAAAGGCAAACAAAAGATAGTAACCTACAAGCTGCCTAGTTACACTGACCTTCTGAAAACGTGGGTGACATGTTTGATGTTAGTAGGTGGGTGGAACTGAAGCAGGGAAATAAATAAATAAAGGAAGCCAGTCAAGTGCAGTGGCCAAGCACCAGCTTTGGATGACGTTGCTTGGATTTAATCCTAGAACCACCACTTGTACTTCTGCTCCCCTAGGCGAGTTGACCTTGTTTCTCTAAGTCTCAGTTTTCTTACCTGAAATAGGGCCCATTAAACGAGAAATAGCAGGTAAAACACTTAACACAGTTCCAGATACAAAGTAAGCATGGATATGTGTCCATGGTTGTATGAGTTAAAACGAGTTTTCAATACTTAAGAGTGTGTGTATGCTTTGCTCTCTGCACCCATTTCCATAGATTGTCTTTCAAGAATTTTAAGAATTGTCTATAATGATGACTTTTCTCTCTGTTTCTTTGTAGAGTTAGCTTAAGTGATGGCAGCGATAGTGAAAGCAGTTCTGCTTCTTCGCCCCTACATCATGAACCCCCACCGCCCTTATTAAAAACCAACAACAACCAGGTAAATTGCCAATTCGCAACGTTCAAGACTCTTCAGAATTAGATGTGATCAACACTTTTCACCCCTTAATTTTAAATGAAGTCCCTCTTGATACCAAAACAATGAGAATCTACAACCCTAAGAATAAACACATACTAAGGGTCATAGAAGCTTCTCTTGTCATAAAAAGTATGTTCCATTGGGTGGGTTCATTAAATAGATGAAAGGAGGGATGGCGACAAAAGTGTTGCCCATTTACTCTTGATTTCTCTATTTTTCCCCTCACCAGTAAGTAGGCGACTTAATGAATTAGAAGGATATGACCTTTGGGGCTAGTATAAAGCCTGGTTCTTTGCTTTACTAATTTATAGTAATTCACTGGTGGGAAATTAACTTTTGCAGCTGATCGTCAGTTTCCTCATCTGTACCTGAGGGTATTAATACCTACCTTGCTGGTTATTGGGAGGATGATAAATAATAAATGTAAAGAGCCTGAGGCAGTGCTCATACCTACTTGGCACTTAGTTGGAGGTCAATGTTTATTATCATAGGTACTCTGCCTCTGTGCTTTCATCCAGGAAAAGAGGATTATCACTTAGAATTGTAAGGAATAGTTAACAAAATGCAGAGTAAATAATGGTCATTATCATTGTTAGAAATCACTCTAAAGGAAAGCTTATTAATTTGATAGTCAACTCAGAATATAGTTATTTGGCTAGGTCTAGGCAGAACTTTGGAAAGCTATGATGAGTTTTTTTTTAAGAAAAGATTAAGATTAGGATATTTCAAACACTTACTAAAATAAACTGTTTTCAAATATCATGAATACTGTAAATGCCTCATTATGCATTGAGTTGATACTCTCATCACCATAGGTTATTCTTACCTCTTTGTTTAGACAGATTCCCTGTGACCTCTACAATAATTACTTAATTCAAGTTAAATCATGTGAATATTATTAACTTGAAAATAGAAGAACAGCATTTTTCTAAAATTATTCTGTTTCACAGGTGTCCTACGATTTAAAATGGCCTTGCCCTTGAATATGTGATCTACGTTTTACTGGGAATGTGTGATTTTTCTAGATGAAGACTTTTTCTTTTTAAATTTTGTATAAAACATAAGCAAAGATCTCTTAAAATGTAAAATTCCTTATTTATAATGTTTATTGACATCTTAAAGCCTGCATTGATAAGAGTAATACCAATGTTCTTTACCTCACTAGTTACAGTTCAACTGCTGTTGCTTTGTATCCTACATATGAATGCAAGCCCAATCTCATCATCTGTTACAGGCTGGCTGTTCAAGGAGCTAGTGCATGTCTCCTAACTTCCTGTAGTTCATGCATTTCCCCATCTCCAGTGCCAGCCAGGCCCGGGCCTCAGCCAGCTTTCACCTCTGGCGCGGCTGCCCACCACCACAAATGAAGCCTTCCAGGGGAGAGTGAAGACTGAGGGCATAACTGTCATCAGCAACCAGATGAGAAGAGCCGTGGGCTGGCTACCAGGATAAATTGGGATACTTTTGTAAATGTGTGCTTCAGTGTGAGCTGGCAAAAGAGTAGAATTTGGGCCTTGAATATATTTTGATATCCAATTTAAACCTACTTAGCTTTCAGTCAGTGGTGAATTAGAATTAGAGGGCAACAGTGCCAGGAGCGAAAAGCACTGGGTTGTGCTTTCGTCCCCTCATGAAACTCCTTCAGCATCTTTCCACTGCGCTTGCTAAATAAGTGCAGCTCCAACAAGCCCCTATCTTGCTGTTCAAACCAAATAGCTGCCCCTAACCCTTCCTGTGTGGGCAGTCTTGAACTGGGCCTGGCTTTAGGGAAAGCTCTGGGTTCTTTGTCAGACTTTTTCTTTTCTTTTCTTTTCTTTTTTATCCTGTCTAGCAAAATAAGAACAAAATGAATAGAATCATTTATCTGGAGAGGGTAAAAATTACTTCATCCGATTAAATAGCATACCACTGGATCCTTGGCATATGTTTATTCAACAAATGTAGCTTCACACATGTGAATCATCAATCTGTCAGGAATACTCGGTTATATGTCACTTTCTCCATGCACCTATAAGCATAATAAGAAAGTCCATATGCTTTCACTTTTAGCTTGTCGATGGTAGGAAATACTTGTACCATAAGAATACTTCCCTCCTTGGAGCTATATCTTGGAGCTGAGAGTAAGCAAGTTTTTAAAACATTGTTTAGCATTGATTTCTTAACCCCTCAAGTCACCTCCATTGGGTCAGGCATGACGCTATCCCTTTAGGATTTCTTAAAAAACTCACTGGTTTTTCTTAGTAGTCTTCCTTAGATCTTCATGCTGATGAAATGAAATATTAAAAAATTCTAAGAAATCTAAAAGTCATGCAAACGTCACCTTAGAATGTGTTTTTCGTTTTCTATTTGTGTGTGTGTGTGTGTGTGTGTGTGTGTGTGTGTGTGTGTGTGTGTGTGAGAGAGAGAGAGAGAGAGAGAGAGAGTATCTGAAATTTCACATCAAATAAAATAGATGAAAATCTACTGGGATGGCCTAAATGTGAAATGGGAAGACTCTAAGTTTCCTTCTTTCATACCCCTTGGCTGTTCTCTGTCTGTAAATTGATAATGGTATCTCAAGTTTCTGTAAATTACCAGGCAAAGCTGAGTTTTCCTTACCTTTTCTCAGATCTTCTGAGGACCAGAGAAGAGGGAAAGTGCTAATTGAGTCAAAGGTTTTCTAACTACTGAAAAAAAGTGAACAGAGAGAGCACTACACGTCAACAAAGCAAGTATTTAACCTGAGTATTGTTAGGAGCTACTAGTGATCATTAACATGAAAGACCTATCAGTAAAGAACCCATCTGCTGAATAATTGAGTTGTCAGTCCTCACAAAGGGATACAGAAAAATAATAATCTTGAAATTTTGATTCTCAAGCCGTATCCTCAGATTAAGGATAGAAGTGCAACCAATCATAGTTCTGTTTTCAGAGACTACCACGTGTACAAATGGTGCATCTCAGCAGCCTGGGTGGCTGTTTACCTCAGTACAACTTAAGAAGGAATAATAGTGCGTGCTGTGTCATTTTAACCAAAGGTTTTGTTTTGTATTTTTTAAATTCAGACCTCCCTTCTGTGAATTTCAAACAAAACCAAAATTCCATCTTTTTTTTTTTTTTTTGGCTAAAAGTGTGGACAGGAGGGAGGAGAGAGGGGCCTTGAAGGAAGGGAGTGATCCACTGGACCCAAGTTAATATTCAGAATATCATAAATCACCTATCAGCCTGCGAGGCATGTTGAATGAAATGAAAGAGCCTGTCCAGTTAAACTGGTTTGAAATAAGCCTGTGGAAGACAGGGTGCTGTACTTTTATATTCTGAAGCCGTTTCCTCAAAGATAAGAAATGATCATAAATAAAACAATTGTCTTCAGCATGGCTCAACTCTCTGAGAATGAGGTTTTGACAAAGCTGTTTATTTTGGAGCAGGGAGAGATCAAAGGAGGAAGATTAACTGAGCCCTCTCTGGGCAGCCACTCAGTAACTTGAGGCGGATCACTGACACCCGGAGCTTTTGTTCCTGCCACTGCAGCTTCAGAAGAAAGAAACGAGGATTTCAATGTAGTTTGGCCTTCTGTGCTGTAGCACTTACGGAATGTGTAGGGTGGGACTTGAGTTCCCCACAATGTTCTGTCTATTTTCTGCTTCGAAGAAAAGGTGGCTGAACTCCCTCAACCTAGTTAGCAAAAAGTTCCATTGCATATATAGAGCTCTCCAGTCACTTTGACCCCTGGAGTGCAGTTAGTTGGGGGTGGGGGGCCGGCAGGGTGGAATACGGGAACACAATTTAGTTTTCTAACACACAGGGCAAGCAGGCAGGCACTGTTTCTTTCTCTCGTCTGAAATCTCAGCATAGTGTCTCTGCTTTGCCCAGCCCTGAATCTGAGTTGGTGAGGAGTGCCATCTACTGACATACTTACTCCTAGGTCTCTGAGTGCCGAGTTTTCCCTTGAGGTCTCATTTCCAACAACAATAGAGAGAAGGAAATTCTTAATGTAGTCAAGTGTTTGGTTTCCTTTACAGTGCAGCATGTTAAACAAAAAACAACAGAAACAAAAAAACTGTTGCCTTGCTTCTGTTAAGCAATTTCCTTGTGTTGCTGAAAGTATTGTATTTTAAGTTAGCCTGGTCAGAATGGTCATCTGGTTATCTTAAGGTGAAAAATGAAGAAATAAAGGCAGTTCTCAAGAAAGACTCTGTTAGAAAGAAGCTCACTCCTTCCCCATGCATTATTCTAAATTCAAAAGAAAATATGCCCTTCTAGAAGTATTTGTTTTTTTCTAGAATGTCATAGTCCTATCTTCAAAGTAAAATGTTTAGGAGTGTAAAATTGTATAGCTGAATGGGAATGTGGACATTAATTACCTTGTTCATCTTTCTCATTTCATCTCATTTTTGAGACTCCAAAAATGTTAAATGATAGGGCTAGGGCCTGAACTTAGGTTTCTGAGCCCAATCAGTACTCTTTCCACAAATTAGAAGTGAACTCATTTACAAAATCTTTGTGTTATGGAATATGGTAGACATTTGAACAGAACTGTGGTGTGTGCGTGTGTGCGTGTGTGTGTGAGAGCAGAGAAGAAAGACAAGAGCAAGAGAAATATGAGACTGCTTAAATATGTGCTTTATTTGGCACTTCCCTTTTTTAATATGAGTTTCAGATTATAACAACTCAATTGATAAGTGAGGTTATAATGCAAAAGATAAGTTACTTTGCTTTTTATGTTTATATATATTTGTAAATACTCAACAATAAATTCAGTGGTTCTCAGCCATTGTAAGCAAGGACCATTTAAAAATATTTCCCTTATAATCCTCAATTTTGAAGATCCTAATGAATCAGTTGTATCTTTTAAATAATAATTTGGTTTTTCTTTTTATCAATTAGAAGCCTAGCTCCCCAGGGAAGCTTCTGAACAGTATGTAAAACTATTCATAACCTAAGCTGTAATCAATTCAGTTAAAAGGAAAGGCACCTGGTGTTTATCTCAGGGATAAACACATTTCTTTTTTTTCTTTTTTTAAACACATCATTTCTTGAAACACAGATGATAGTCCTGGCTCATTATTCCTTGAGTTGGAGGATCCCAAGTTGGGAACAACCAGTGTCACTGAGGGCCATCTTTATTTCCACAGCTCCATCAAGTTAGTGGATATGAGCAATGTTTAGAATCTGAAAGTCAGGTGCTAAAAAGGGCATTTGAGTGTTTGTTTTATGATCTCTTATGCACTGAGCACTGGTAGTGATGCTGAAACAGCAGAATGAATGAGGAAAAATTCTTGCCAGAGGAAACTATAATCCCGTATAACTCAGCTGCGGTACATATGTGTTAGAGTGTTGTCACAAAGGAGAAGCAGCCTTGGAAGCTTCCATCCATTTCCTTATTGTCAACTTTAAAGTTCTATTGCCCTGACTCAGCATTTTGGATATGTAATTCATTTCCCAAGAAAAGGTAAGATTAGAAGAGAAGAAAGGCCATGTGTAGAGGAGAAATGCTATTTGGAAAGTGATATTATTGTATGACATTTTACCCATAAGTGCCTTTGTTTAGGTGGCTGGTTAGCTAAGAAGTGCTTGAAATCAAATTTAACAGTGTTCTCTTTGATCCCTAGATTCTTGAAGTGAAAAGTCCAATAAAGCAAAGCAAATCAGATAAGCAAATAAAGAATGGTGAATGTGACAAGGTGGGTTTCCAGCCCATCACTTGAGTGCTGCGGCACTGGCATGTCCTCTGTTTCTTTGTGTTTCCCTTGATCATCCTTGCTGGTTCTCCTTTCATTGTCTTCATCACACGTGCTCGAGAGTAGTTTATTGTCCTAGCCTTGCTATGTCTCCAGTGTTAAGCTGGGCCTTATGTTACCATTTGTCCTGATGCCTCTATTGCCCAGGGATTTCAGGCCCATTGCATTTGGGTAAGAATCATGGCAGAGTCAGTGAATGAAGGACTCTCAGATGTAAGCAAACAGTACATCTGACCCTCGTGTGGTGTGCTTTCCCCAAATGTGCATTGTGCATCTGAAATGTGACTGCAGGACCTATTGGGGGTTAGTCTCCTGGTGCGAGTAGGGTCCTGAAGTATCCTAAAGGGTCGGGGCAGGTGTGGCTCATGCTTTGCAAACCTTTCCTTTGCCTTCGTGGCAAATGACATTAGGGACACCCATCCAGCTATGCTGACAGAGTCATGGGTCGGTGCATGTGGAAGGAGAGCTCATCTCTGCCCTTTCAGAGGAACTCTTTGACAAACCACATGCTAATTTGGGTAGCGATCTCTATTTTTCATAAAACATTCTTCTGTTCTTCCATATGCTCTTCACAAGCAATGTTAGCTATGTTAGATATGACCAGGAAGGCCTTTTTATTGTTTTGTTAAAAGAATTTGCTCTGACATAATTGGTAACGTGCACTGATACTTCCATGTTTACACTTAGACTTTTATCTCTTAGTTAAAAGCTTCTAAGATAGAAGACTTAAGAAAAAAAAAGAAAGTAAACTTTGATGACATGCTTAAACTCACCATTTTCCATTGAGTTCCCTTTCTGTCTATTGAGGCATTATTGGGAGAGGGTGTGTCTGCTCCCTTCAGTCTTGTTGAGAACAAATAAGTGCAAGAATTGCCCCCTTTTTAAAAGCCAGTTTCATAAAGGCAATAGTTGGCCGAGAGAGACTTGGTGTGCACAGGCCTTAGGCACCGAGTCCACATGGCCTGGAATGGGGTAGAATGGGACATCTCCAGCTGCTGCTTGTATGTTCATATGTGTTCATTCTCTTCTTTGTGAACTGCTTCCTAACACGCATGTTCTTTGGGGGCCTCTCTTCTCTTGCAGGCATACCTAGATGAACTGGTAGAGCTTCACAGAAGGCTAATGACGTTGCGGGAAAGACACATTCTGCAGCAGGTGAGAAATGCTTTTTAGCACAACCCTTCCCAGAGCCTCAAGGCCTCGGAGGCCACGCCAGCCCTGCACTGTCAGAACTGGGCTAATGCCACCCAAAGAAGCACAGTTGACCCTTGAACAACACAAGTTTAAATTGCACTGGTTCACTTATATGTGGATTTTTTTCAGTAACTATACAGTCAACTCTTTGTATCCACCAATTATGGATCAAAAACAGTGTTTTCCACCTGTGGTTGGGAAGCCATGGATGCAGAGGGCTGACCGTATGCATTGTTCTCTCTAATTTTATATAAGGGACTTGAGCATCTGTGGATTTTGGTATCTACAGGGGGTCCTGGAACCAAATTCCTGTGGATACCAAGGGACTGTAGTTATGTTTGGGGGGAGTCAAAAGTCATATGTGAATATTCAGCTGTGCCAGGGGGTCAGCACTCCTAACCCCTGTGTTCAAGGCCCAACTCTATTTGGGAAGGGCGCTCACTTCCGAGGCTACCCAGAAGCCTGCTTTGGAGCTTGGCGGTAATTATCTGCCTTCTCTGATGCTGTGGGCAGTGAAGATTGGGCACTCGAGGAAGCAATGGTGCTGGAATGTACCGATCCTTCAGCACGCAGATGCTGTGATGTGAGCTGAGAGGAGGGGATGGTAGGAATGCAGGAACCTTTGGGGCCAGGCTTCTGGTTTCATGGGAAAACAGTGATAAGAATTGCAGTCAAGTGTTGTAAACATTTGTGATTCAATTTAGTAACCTTTTGCCAAAGCTGTTCTAAGGAAAATAAATATTTCCCTCATTTCTCTTATCTTGTACAACATACATTCTGTTATTATGAACTCAACTGTGGAATACTGGTAGAGTGGGAAAACGTCTATTAGTACAATTTGATGTTTTGAGAAGATAAGAAGGGTGGTTTTTGGTTTTCATACAGTTATGTGCATCCGTTGCTTTAACAGTGGCTATTGATAAAATGCTTTTTCTTTAACATCCAAAGAGAAAGTTGTGTTCTAAATTCCATGGTGGGTTTGTAGATTATTTCACTGTTTAATTTTTTTTTTTGCATCTTTCAAATTACTTGAAGTTAGTACTTAATGTACCCCAGCTGTGTGTGTTATTTTTTAAATGTTTAATGGCTGATGGTAACATTTATATTCTGTGTACATTTTTGCTTAAATCTATAAATACACACTCTCAGACTTGCCAAGTTTCCTGATTGGTCTGATAAGCTTTTTAACCCTTCTAGAATTTCAAATTTGAACAAAAGTCCACAGACCTATGATTCTTAGTTGGGGATAAGTTGAATGTTTTGCATTTCCATTTAAGTAAATATGGGTAGGGGAGCAGGATTTGAGTGGCTTCCCCTAAGACGTGGCTAGTATTTTTCTTCAGCTTTCTTCTGTAGAACTAAAATTGTACAACCTGCCATTTACTTTGGGGCTAATTGACTGAATGGTGAGGGTAATTCTATTAGCTGATTTCCCTATTCCTTCCCAAATGCCAGCTCTGAACCACTGTGGAGCAGTCATCGAATAAAGCTAGTCATGCACAAGCTGGGCCCAGATAGTGAGTCTCCCAGGAGAGGGAGACAGATGCTTGGACGGGGTTGGGACACCTTCAGAAAGGAAGCCCCGCCAACGAGTGGAGGACACCAGGCAGTTGGACACGGTCTTACCTTGGGGTGTCATTGACATTCCCAATTTCACATTGTCCTTTATGTTGACCTTTGAAAGAATTCTGAGGGAAGATGACTTACTGGAGAATTCCTCGCAGTGGATCATTTTAGTGTTCTAGAGGGAGAGAGCAATCTCTATGAATTTTTAACCTGGCATAAAGGCACTCGAGGGCACACAGCGTCTCACCCTAATTGCATTCCCAGGCCGCTTAAAAGCTCTCTGTCGTTGGCCTTTTGCCTTGTAATGCAGCTGAGGCTTGTGATTATGATACCATGATGCATGTCCTGTCACGGTTTACTGCTTAATTAATTCCTATTGTAAAACCTAGCAGTATGGAGGACTAATGTACCTTTCCGCCTTGAGAGCTCCTCACCTTGTGGAATGCATTCCAAAGTCGACATACTCTGCCATGCAGACCTGACACCTGACACAGAATTTCTGGTGAGCCCAGGATCACATCCTAGGTCCTTTCCTATTAAATGCATCCAATCTGCTCTGATGCTTTTATGTGGCTCAAAAAAAAAAGTGGTTAATATCTTTGTCTTACTCTGGGGACATGCAGGACTGGTCCCTGACCTCTAGTTTAATGAACAGAAAGCATCGCATCAAGAGAGCCTGTGTTCTTAAGCCACTTTTTCATAAGGTAAAAAGTACCATGGATGCAGTCAAACCCAGAGATATCAGTTACAGTACTGATAATAATTTAATTTTGCTTTGAACCATGGGCTCCACAGTCTTTGGAAAGGGAAAGTGAGCACTTCTAAACTCCTCAGCAGTTAAGCTCTGAGCCTGGATTTGCATCCTACTTAGGAGGGGGAAAGCTCTGCGGAAAACCAGTGCTTCCTTAGACTGTATAGCAACTTAGATAACAGCTATTATACTTTTAGAATTCCCTTCAGGGAGATGGGTAATGAGTGAGGTATTGAAGGGTTCCTTCTAACAACATGGAGATCACTCCCTGAGAAATCGGCTGAAAATGATTCTCTCCATCCTGAGAAACTGCCTGTCATGGTTTAGAATCTCCTGTGGATGGGAGGCTGATGGACTGTCTTTTAACTCAAGGTAGGTTGCACGTTGTCACATGGCAGAGTTCCCCAGTCCATTGCTGTGGCCATTCTAAAGGAAGACCTCACTTACCAAGACCTGACTCCACTCTAGGCAGCTGCAGTGAAAGCAGAGCTTATCTGTTAACTTCCAACTCAGTCAAGAGGCAGAAAGAAGCCTGGGTTTGGAAAAATATAAGCTGACTAAACATAATGCATCTACCTTTTTATAATTAAAAATCAGGGATGGAGGAAGGAGTCACAGATTTAACAAGTGGATCTTCCCTGCTTAAAAAAAAAGAAACAGCCTGTGTGGTACCCCCTAGAAGACTGACTTGGCAGGAAATAATCCATCACCAATGTTTTCACAACAGCCATCATCTGAAGAATGAGTTAAGCAGTTACATGCTCTTCTTTTCCCACTCCTCTATGTACCTACCCTGTGCCCTTGCCTGCTTTTCTTATCTTGGTCATTCTATCTTTTATGATTCTGATTCTGATTATTATTATTATTTTGGAGAGGCATTCATTATTTCAGTTTGATGCAGGGTGCTGACACTGACGCTGACATTCATCAGCAGAGCAGAGGACTCTTATGGAAAGGGTGACGCCTTTAGGGGCTAGTGGGGTGTTTTAATGGGCTTCTGTTTTTGGAGTGTAAAGCACTTTAATGCTGTGTTTTTGATGTTCTAACTATCAGGATTTCTGGAAAGGAGCCCTAATTCATTTTCCTTTATGAAGTCTTAATTGAGGACCTGGGTACATGCTCTAATAATTCAAATCGTTAATGCCGTACCCTTTGGCAAATAGTCCCGAACACCCCAACTGCTGCCACGACTCCTGCTTTAAGGCCCTCTCTGCAGCTGCCTTGATATATTCTTATGGGCTCCCATAAAAATGTGGGGCTCATTTAGCTAGATTGATCAGTTCCCCTTTATATCTTTGCGTTTGTGGCTGCAGGCAGGGTGGGACGTGCTGGTTGTGGAGGCACTAGAAGGACTGGGATTGAAGCCCTGGAAACCTCCAAGATGCTACAATGCATGTGAGATGACGGGGCTGAATTTCCTAGTGGGCGAATGTGTTGCTTTGCTTTCAAATCAAGTGGCTCTTTCTAGAAAGTATTTTTATTGCTCCATTTTCTACTTACTGTTAAGTAATTAGTGGGCAGCCCTATGGAGTCACAGAAAGCTATGTTCCTAAAAGGGTGAATTGCCTGTCATTTTCAAGGGAAAATTTAGGGCTGTACTTTTTTACCCCCAACTGGTAGTTTTAGTCTGTCATTTCAACTAGTTTTCTTCACCTACTGTTTCCCCTGCTTTCGTCCCTTCCTCCTGCAAACTTCTCTGATCATTATTAAAAACAAAGAAATTTAAGTAGGCCTTTTCTGAGTTTTAGCTTCCAGCATTTTTCCCTGCTTTATTTGTTCAAGTGCTAATGAAACGGCGAACAGTCAACAAAGGGAGGAGGAAAAAGTGCAGGATCTGGTCGTTCATGTTGCTGTGTAGTTACCTCCCAAGTCATTAGTGATAAGTTTATATTTATATGGTAATCGTAATCATGTTGCCCTGATCCGCGTAGCAGTTTACAGTTTGTAAAGAAGCTGCATTTGCCGTATCTTGTTTGAGTTTCTGCACAACCCTGTATGATGGTAGAACAGATGGCATTGTCTCCATTTTACAGATGAGGAAACTGAGGCTCAGAGGTGATAATGTTCTGTCAGATTCCATTCAAATAGTGAGCAGAGTCAGAACTTGGTGTGCCAGATTCAGGACGCTCTATTTTGAATGCTTTGTCACTTAACCTACTGGCCAGTTAGCTGAGGAGAGGAGTCACTCTGGAATAATTGTCATTTGCTGCTATCGTGTAAATGGAAAGGCTATTCGTTTCTGTCATGAAAGAGTTCTCTGAAGAGGGTATTTTGTCTATCCTGAAGTCTACACATTTTCACTGGGTCTACAGTATTTCTAAACAATGGAATGTACTCTGGAAAGTATTCTTAAATCAATTGATGTTAACTATACGAGTAGAGTAAGTATCTGATTGCCTTGAAAAGTTTGTGTGTATGGACATAGCTGGGTGTGTCTCTGTATGTAGGGTGTGTGTGTGTGTGTGTGTGTGTGTGTGTGTGTGTGTGTGACTTATCCAAAGGTCTGTAACTATTAACTAATAAAACAAAGGAGGGTCCATTTTGGACCTTTTAGTGTTAATAATAAGATCTTGCTTGATAAATTCTTATGTGAATGTAGTAGTCTAACCATAATTAGGAACACCCCTTCTAATAATCTCTTACTGGAAGTAACAGAACCTTGGGTCCAGTGACTTAAGCAAGTAAGGCTCCCTCTCCCCCACCACCTCCAGGCCTGGAGGTAAGTAATTTAGGGTCAATGTGGTGGCTTAAAAGATGCCACTGAGGACATGGACGCTTTACCTTCCTGCTCTGCCATCTCTGTCATCTTTGCCATCTGCATTCATCTGCACTCTTGAGGGGAAGGTAGCTACTGTACCTCTGGGATCACATCTTTATTCCCGACAGGAAGAGGGGCAGAGGGCAAAAGGCATGTGCCTGTTGTCCATAACCTTCGTGAAAATTTTCCTGACTTCTGGCAAATAAATTGTAAATAGCAGTATCTGCCAAGTGCTGCCAATGGGTCTGGGAGGCAAGCGTTTTAGCTGGGCATGCTGCCACTCCTAGAAAATCAAGCTTCTGTTAGTAAAGGATGGGAAAATGGATACTCGGTAGGCAATTGTCTATGTCTGTCATGGTTTTGCAAGGGCAGTAACTTGTTTTATTATTAAACCCACAGTTATATCTGTAAGAAATAGTTTCAGAGATCGAATAAGACTGTAACAGCTCAGTCTGGAGTTGTGCAACTAATTGGATGAGCCTCAATATGTCTTTTGTGCTTCCGTGGAAGTCAAATACGTCAGGAATAGGGAGCACGCTTTCTATTGAGAGCCACTGACCCATAGAGAATAGTTCACAAATTACTATTTTTTAAAGAAAATGAATTTTAAGAAGAGGTGGCCAAAAGTTTCTGTTGTTTTCAACCTGAAACTAGGTAATCTAAAATGTCACTGAATGAATAATAGGCTAAATAACTACAACCTTTTTTTTAAGATAATTGAACCTCAGAGAATCAGAAGTAAGTGATAGAAAGGGAGTAATAGAGACAACTAAAAATAAATGGAAGTGTTTGCTAGTTGTTTTTTCTGCATAAATATATTTTTTTCATCCTCATGGTGATTTTCCTCTCTCTCCCCACAAAGCTTTCTAAAATTAACCCCCTTTATCCCATTTTACCCACAACATATATATCTAAATCACATGCCACCCAGGCACAGCACCCATTTCTGATAAAGTTATTGGAAAAATAGGAATGGAAAGACACGTAACATGATAAAAGATTCTCTCAAACCAATAACCAACATCATTCTTATAGTTGAAACCAAACGAGTGCCCTCCTGAAAGCCAGGGCAAGACAAAGACACCCCTGTCACCACTTGTTTATCATATTTCTGAAAGTTGGAGCCCATACAGTAAGAAATGAGGTGTAACTATTCCAAATGGGGAGCCAAAGGCTCCCTTTCTTTTTCTAGTTAAAACTTATCACCCCCAAATACTCAAAGGAATCAACCGAACATGACTATAAGTGATAAACATAGGTTTTTGTTCATTTTTGTTGAAGTATAACAAAATATACAGCCGCATGAATTTTATGAAAATTTGTGAAAGTGAATGCCTTTTTTTATAACCAGCACCCAAATCAAGCAACAAAACAGTTCCAGCACCCCCAGAAGGGCACTCCTTAAGTGCCCTTCTAGTCACTATCCATGATCTGCAGAAGGTGGGATTGTAGGTGGTTTAAATTATTTTCTTTGTGGGTTTTTGTATATTGTAAAATTTCAACAATAATGTAATAAGGAAGAAAAATGTTCATCATAATATATGTGTGTGTGTGGATGTGTGTGTGTGTGTGTGTGTTATGTGTATACTTTTTTATAAGGAGTTTTAGTTCTAGGCTGGAATTTCCTTATATCTACTAAGTATAGTCACTGTCCATTGAGTCGGTAACTGATTTTTAAAGGGGCCTAGAAATTATATCTCTCTCCCTAACCACCCACTCCCACTCCTACAATAAAATAGTCTGTTGATGACTTGAGAGCAGGAATCAGTTTAAATGATATGAATGATGAGAACAAGTCATCTGCTCCCATTCAGAATTTCAAAGGGTTAATATTCCTTTGGCTTAAAAATTGGCTACGAGACACTTGGTGACATTACTAATATAGGACCATTTTGCTATAAATGAGAACATTAATCACTTGGTTCCATATTTGACCCCCTCCATCTCTCTCGCTCTTTGCCTTTTGATGTCCATTATAATTTCCCAAACTTTCTCTTCTTTGTTCCTCTAGATTGTGAACCTTATAGAAGAAACTGGACACTTTCATATCACAAACACAACATTTGATTTTGACCTTTGCTCGCTGGACAAAACCACAGTCCGTAAACTACAGAGTTACCTGGAAACATCTGGAACATCCTGAGGATACAACAACTGGATGCATCAAAAACTATTGCTTTGGGGTTTTTTTTGTTGTTTTTTTTTTTTTTTTGGTTGTGATTTTTTTGTTTGTTTGTTTATATGAAAACACTCAGAATGATGCAACCAAAAGGGAAAAAATAAAAATCAAACAACCTTCAGCTTTATTTTTCTTTAAAGCCAGTCATCATCTCTTGACAAAGGAGAGGTTAAGCAAACCAGCCTCAGCGGACCACTCTTCTCTCAAAGGAAGTCCCCGGGAAGAGTTAGCCTGGATAGCCTTGAAAACAAACAAATCAAACACAACACAAGAAAACTTAAAGAATGTGTATGGTATCATGTGTCTCTCTGTGTGGTGGTTCATTCCACAGGACGAATGCATATTCAACACACTGCCTTATTACATAACTCTGATCTATTTATTAATGCATACAGATATCTGAAAGTCGTTGAGGGAATGACACCACAAGACATTATAAGTACTCGGTCCCGTGGATGCTCTTTCAATGCAGCGCCCTTGCCACCCCAAGCCCAGTGACCTTACTCGTATACCGTGCCACTCTTCACCGACTTTTTCCAACTCCTTTAACTTGTTGCAATCTGTATTTTCCAACTTTTGTTTTTTCCAGTTCCAGGACACAAGCGATCAACTGGGGGGACCAAATAACCGCCCTGATTTTCTTTGTGGTCGTTTTCCTGAAAGTTGGGGCCCACTCCTTGGCTGTATCCATGTAATGATCTTGGACCATGGTAGAAAAAAGCACCAAATAGGATCATATGAGTTGCTGTCTAGCCTTAGTCAATAAACCTGTAGGACTTTTAAACAAAAGTGTATCTGTAAACGTCCTGCATCCAGCATTGTTGAGCTGTCATCAACATTCTTGTGTCTGTTTTACTGTCATAATATTAGATAAATATTGGAGTAAAGGCATTCCACAGGATCACCATTTTTAAAAAAGAAATTCTGGTTTTGTTTTCTAAAGAAATGTTGTAGAAATTCTTAATTTGGATCTATTTATTATTAAGAGTTTCAGCTTTTTTCAGCTGCCAGTGTGTTCTCCATCTTTACCATAAAACCTGGAATAAGAGATTTTTGTTCGTTCACATATAATCCTCTTAGACTCTTTTATATTTGAAAAATTAAAATCTTTCTTTGGGGCAATTCTTGGTTCTTCTGCCATAACAGATGATGTATTAACTTGTAGATTCAGTGGTTTGATACCTGTTTAGTCACTTGCTTATGTTTCCAGAAGGATTTCTTGTATTGGTGAAAATAAAGATGGTTGGGGGGGGGGATATTTTTTGTTCTTGATGTACCCTGTTTTGAAACTAGAAATCTGTCCTGTGGCATGCAAAAGAAAGCAAATTATTTTTAAAGAAAAAAAACCAAAACCAAAACCAAAGTCCTTTTGGTGTCATTATTCCATCCTCTCCGTATATGGAGAAATGCAAAGTGGGAACAGCTCATTTGTCAAGTTTTTGCTAGGAACTCCACCGAAAAGAAAAGAAGTGAAGAAATACTTCTGGATCCAAAGGTTCGTTCACTGGATCAGCCTTAAGAAAGTCTCTATGTGTGCTTATAGGCCAGTTATCTCCCCTGTTTATTTCCATGCCAGATGCTGTCTTTTCATACAGAGATTAACTTGTGTCTGTACAGAAAATGGTCCGTCTAGAGACCCGGTCTTTTGGGCAGTAATGTAAATGCAGATTGATAATGGAGTTATTTCTGCATTTTAAAAAGGGGATTTTTTTACATTGTTTCTTTTATATCTAAAGACACTATTTTTTTCCTTTAAAAAAATGATAATACAGCCATGCTACTTGTAAATTCCTTCTCTGAAGCATCCTGCCTGAGGACAAGTGTAGTTTTTCAATAATGTTATGATTCTTGCTGATTGGCATGAACCATCCTTGAAGAATTTGTTGTCTAGTCTACTCCGTGTTTCATTACAGAGAAACTTTCTAAGTCGTTTTGGATGTTAGGTGACTGATGAATTGTGTGCTTTTAGTTGTATTTTGTTTTGTTTTGAACTTTATAGGTAAAAGGGGAGGACAATGCTTATATGGAATTGTTTGCAAAATTTAAAACTTTTAAAAATTTCTCAATGCTAATCCACATATTCTAATTAAGCCAGAAATGTATGTGGTTTAACTAAAATATCTGTGTAGCTTAACTAGGAATGTATATAATGTAGTTTGGGCCATTTTTATTTTTGTAACTAAATTGTGTGGCAAAAACTATGATTTGGCAGTATACAGATTTTTTGTTCCTTAGGTTACTAACCAAGAAACTAGGTAATATAAGAAATGATCAAACAAAAAGTTTAATAAGGAGGGATGCTATTACAGTGATAAAATTTAGACCTAAAATTTAGGTAATAAAGCAAATATATTCACAATATCATCAAAATGTAACTTCATATTTGATAACAAAATTCTGGAAAACTTACCCATTTACTACTCCTGGAAACAGCAAAATGAGTTTTCCACAAAATTCCTGTAAAGTAAGAGTCATATTGTTGATTCTTTAGAAGTTATACTCTTACTCTTATCTAATTTTTAAATTCAGAAATAATAAACCCCCTTCTAATTAATTTCAAATAGTTATACTTCTCTTAAAGTAACTCAGTTATGCCATGTTTTTATACACTCATCTTTGAAACCTGTTAAAAAATATTTTTGGCACATGTGTATCCTAACAGTGGCTTTGGTTTTTTAAGCACAAAAGAAAAATGGCAGGGTTTAATTTGTTTGGTGTATATATATATATATATATATAAATAGATATTTCAAATAAAATTAATTGGGTGAGTGTGAATATGGTTTGAGCCAGCCAGAGTATGATAAACTTTCTTTAAATTGTCCCTCCGGTAATTTGAGGTGGGGAAATAAATATATGTACAGAACTCCCCCACCACCCTTATTGGTTTTGCCTCTGTTTTTGCAGCAGGATATGTATAGAGGGGATGCTTCTATCTTAGCATATTGCATTCATATCAGCAACAAAAATGTTTGCAGTTACTTCATTTCTTCACCATAATCCACCTCTCTCTCTCTGTAGACAAATAGGTATGTCCACATATCGGGGGTGCCAAAAAAATGTAGACAAGTGGATACTTCGGTCAACATTGTTCAAGCAGTAGTTTGCTATAATCAGAAGTGTCTGGATGCTGATAGGAACCACTTTGAGCACCTCTTGTAATTGCAGAAGTCAAACGTGACTTGTATTCATCATTTGTTATTGGTATAGAGTATTACAATTTTAATACAGTTTTCTTTCTTTAAAATGTGTATACATTTTTTTGGCACCCTCTGTACATATACTTGCATTTTGTGTCAAAATAGGGAGGAACATAAAAACTTCAGATTAGGAGACAAAAATTTTAGAAGGAAAAAAATCATAAGACAGTGTCCTAAACATATTTAAACTGCTAAGCAAATCTCTCTAATCTGAATAATTACCCACCTTTTTGTGAAAGAGTCAATAAATCTGGCTTCTTCCATCAAAAAGTTTCTCCCACCAAAAATATTTCTTCTGACTCCTTTCACAGACCCAGCTAATCTTTTAAAAAGACAGTTCAGGCCTATATAACATCCCACGTACCATTGCAAGCCCCATACATGTTAACGAGTTAACGTGCTTGTTTAAAAGGGACTTTATTTTTAAATGTTTTAACTCTGCCTAGGTAATGGAGTTGGATATTCAGTGTTGGAATTGGTCAGTGTTTGTATTTGGTGGCTTGTGTTCATTTCTCACTGTGGATGTGATCAGCTCTGGAGTAGTTTGCTGTATGCTCATTTTTACCTTTAGCGTTTTGTGTGCTATAATGCCATGTACTGCATACACACGCACGCATGCATATTATAATCTTGCTTTGGACTGTTGCTCTAAAACTATGACTATGATGTAGAGTCTACTACAGCTGCAATGAATGTAGAGGAGTCGATCCCCATGGTTTAGTTTAGTCTTGGGCTGGAAGCCTACAGCTTTGGATCTCTTTTGTTTTATATGATGCTTTATATCATGTAGGCACTGCCATCACTGAATATTCCTTGTAAAGATGCATCGAAGAAGTCAATTTAAAAGGAAGACAAAGCCACTGCTGTCTGTAAACTGTAAATATGTATTTTGGCACTTACACTCCAGTATTCTGAAAATAGAGTTATGATGGAAATGCTGACAGATCCTTAATGGTGGCCAGAGCCACCATGCAGTGCAAAAATAAATTAAGTAAAAATGGATTCTTGAGATTAACAGTGCAAAGCCAATACGTTTTATAAATCTGTCAGTATCTTTTTTAATGGAGTGTGTATGTGTAGTTATGTTGAAAGATACACTGTGTATGTGTGTGTAGATGCTATTATGTGAACTACAAGGCATTCGTAAGATGTATTCCCCATCTCTAAAACCCATGTTGAAATGTAAGTACAGATTGACAGAAATGGGTGTTTTCCTTAAATTCATATCTAATCTATTGTGGCTCCATTTTCTTTACAATGTATATATAGTCTTACTGATTTGTTAAGAGTCCTTCAACCAAAGTTTGGTTTTGCTTTGCATACAGAAAAAAATGAGCCCCTAACTTTCCTCAAGAAGTGATGCTGGTCCTAAGGAAGAATGAGTGAAGAGATCAGACCAGCTGAGGACATGACACAGTCCATGCCCCATTCATCTTTGCATCCCCAGTGTCTGAGCACCATTTTCCATGTCCTAAAAGCAGTACATTTTTTAAGCTCTGCAGAGATTGGGCAAGAAATGGTGGTACGCATTCTTGGAATAAACTGGGTTACTTGTGTGTGCTATTTTTTCTTTCCCCCCCCTCGTTTTCCCTGGAAGGTTTTGTTGATAAACTAAAACTAAATAACGTGCTAGACAGAGTCCATCTGACAAAGGCCCTGCATTTACTTTAGCTGCAAGAAATACTACCTTGCTTAGACAGGAGAAAAATTACTTCAACAAACAGAATACTTTCAGTTTGGCAAAAAACCAAGGAAGTGGATGTAACGCTCTTCTTAATAGTGAAGAGACTTGCATTAAATTTGAGAAACTCACCTTATCTTCAGGCTGACAAGCCATTGAGGAGCTGATAGGGGATGGCCTTTCTTATATCTTATCAACTAGACCCTGATTTTAGGTGTGGAAGCTTCAGTCCCAGAT